CTCTCTCTCTCTCTCTCTCTCTCTCTCTCTCTCTCTCTCTCTCTCTCTCTCTCTCTCTCTCTCTCTCTCTCTCTCTCTCTCTCTCAAGAGAGAGACCCAATTTAATACCCCCCCGCGGCAAACCAAACTAACCCTGCAGCCTCAACAGGTCTCTCGGAGGTAACTCCCGTGCAAATTTAGAAAGCAAAACCCAGGGCTTTCTGACTTCCAGCAGCAATGCATCGACTGAGTAAACAGGAGTACACAGGTGAGCCAAATCCCTTCCGACCGCCCCCCCCTTCCCACAAATTCCCCCTTTCACGTGTTTGCTTTTTGCCCTTCATTTTTTTGCGAGCGAGGGCGCAACAGGTACCCTTGTGAACATAGATACCATACGTACAGCAGATCGACTGATGGATGGATGTGAGGGTGCGTTGTTGGTGTCATGGACGAAGCCCTGCCGGTTATGAGGCATTGCAAGCGATCAATAACTGGAGGAAAGTTAGGAGGGGAAAATACATGTTTGCAAGAGGCGAAATTGGGGAATTTTAAATTTTCCACTTGTCTGTATGGATTCTATGGAAAGAGTCAGAAATGTTTCGACAATGGGAGGTGGCGCATGGTAGGTTGATCCTCACCCTACCTTCTTTTCCCGAATATAACGTATATGGGTTGTATTCTAATTTTAAAATTTGGAAAATAATCGAACAGAACGCATATGCGCTGTTTTTGAAATTTAGGGCTATTGGAATATAATACATGCATTTTATTCGAATAGAAGGCACCCTGTGCGTTGTATTCGTTTACAACGCATATGCGTTATGTTCGGGGGAAGAAGGTAGTTAAAAATCTATGGATGTAGAACGTTTTTGATGGGTCTGGTACGTGGATGCTGGACTGTGGAGATTTATGGCCATTGCTTACTTCGGAAGACTTCCACTACTGCAGTTGTCTGGTGTGCGTTCTGATAAGAGTTATATGGAGATGATCTGTACCAGCAGTATTGCTCTTGAGGTTTAATTGGGGTGCCTCGTCGGTGACTCGGTGCTATGTTTGGGCCAAATTTGCATGAGTGTGACAAATTTGAGGACCAGATAGCTTTAATGAAGTTTAATCACACCAGTTTTATTTATGACCAGATTAGTTGCAGCCCAGCGTAGACATAGCAGTGATAGCACCTCTGGGCTTTCTTTCTCCTGTGTGCTTACCTGAGTATATCTCTTTGTACTTCTTCTTTTTTCCTTTTTTATTATTTATGACTGTTCTCATTCCAATTACTGGACTGGAAAGATCCCAGTGTTGTTCTTTATTGTCACTACCTCCCA